CGCCTGCACACTGCCCAAACAGCAAGGCCAGGCCTGCGTGCGCTGGAAGTGCTCCTCTGGAGCAATGCTGCGGCCGCCGCATGACCGCGCCTCCGTGCGTGCTTGCGCTCCCGGCGGCGCAGGTCCAGTCCATGGTTCAGTACTGGGAGGCTGTGGCCAGCGGCACGCCCGCGGCAGCAGCTGCCGCCGGCGTGACTGGAGAGGAGGCGGCGGAAGCGGAGGCGTACGCATGCGCCGCCGTCGCCGCGGCAGAGGCGGCGCTGGGAGCGCGGCAGGCCGAGGCCGAGGCTGCTGCTGCTGCTGCTGAGGCAGAGGCTGCGGCCGACGAGGCGGCCGGTGAGGCTGTCGCGGAGGAGGCGGCGGGCCAGGTGGCACAGCTGACCACAGCGAGCTCAGCAGCCCAGGCCAGCCCGGCGGCGCCGGCGGCCAGCCCAGCAGCCACCCCAGGCACCCTGTCGCGCCACCTGCCGGCCGGCGAGGCTGCCACCCCGTGCGGCCCGGCAGCCCTGGCAGGCGCCGCCACGCCCGCCCGCCCCACCCCTCTCAACTTTGTGTCTGCGCCGCCGCCCACGCCAGCCAGCGGCAGCGGCGGCGACCCCCAGCACGCACAGCAGCTGCACCAGCTGGCTGTCGGCATGGCGGCAGCCGCCGCTGCTGCGGCCGCGGGGCAGGCCACCCCTCCCTCGGCACAGCGCAGCGGCAGCCGGCTGCCCGGCACGCCCGCCGCCACGCCCGCGTCGTGCACCGTGGCGGCGGCGGTGACGCCGCTGGCGCTGAGCGCGCTGCGGGCGCGCATGGGCGGCAGCGGCGGCGGCGTGCAGGATGCGGTGCGCAGCCGGCTGGCGCGCCTGAAGCGGGATCTGATGGCGGCACAGGCCAAGCTGGCAACTGTGGACCAGGTGGGTTGTGGGTGGGTGGGTGGGTGGGTAGCAGAGGGGCAGAGGTGTGGGGAGGGGTGATGCTGGCGGGGAGGGGCTGAGAAGAGGTGCCGCAAAGCAGGCATAGCCCCAAGGGTGTATTAGGTGGCAAACAGCGAGCTGGGCAGCCCTGGCAGGCGCCGAGGTGTGCAGAGGCGGGCAGGTGGTGTGGGTTCATGCCCCCGGCAGGCACCAAGACGCCTGCCGGCCTGTGCCTGGCGGTGTGCAGGGGCTGGCATCCATCGCCTTCACCCCCACCTCCTCCATCACCGCCAGCGGCACCCCCGGCAGCCGTGCCAGCAGCCTGCTGCGCCGCACGCCGCCCACCCCCGGCACCGCCGCGCCGCTGGGATCGCTCATCGCTGCCGCCGGCAGCAGCGGCGCCGCCGCCACCGCCTCGGCGCAGCAGGAGCTGTCTCTCGGCAGCAGCTCGCGCGCCGCCGCGATGATTGCTGCCGGCAGCTACTCGCCACCGCTTGTGACGGCGCACGCCTCGCCATCTGCCGTCAACCAAGCGTCCCGCCTCGAGCCGACGTCGGCGGCAGCGGCGGCAGCAGCAGCACCTGCCAGTGCGCCCGCCCAGGGCCCAATCACGACCACAGTGACGGCAGCAGCAGCGGCAGCAGCACCATCAGCGACGGGTGTGGGCGAGTGCACGCCGCCGGCCACCCGCCGCTCTGTGCGCTTTGCAGACATGACGCGGGCGGCGGGCAGCGAGCGGGGCATGCTGCTGCGCATGGGCACACCCTACTCCCACTCCACCGCGGCAGCCCTGCCAGACGGCAGCGACGATGCCGCCAGCCCGGCCTCCGCCTCGGCCTCGCCGGTGGTGGCCAGCAGCAGGCGCAGCCCGCTGGGCGTGGCTGGCAGGCGCATCGCGGCGCCTCTGCGCAGCCCCCCAGCCGAAGCGCAGAGCGCGGCCAGGCCTGCAGCGGCGGTGGCGCGGTTTGCGCTGGAGCGTGGGGATGGGGGCTGGGGCAGCAGCAGCGGCAGCGACGAGGATGGCGAGGTGGGTGGCAGGTCTGGCGGGCGGGAGGCGGGGCTGGCTGGCCTCGCAGGCTGCAGCGATTCCACATGCGGGCTGCCTTGTGGCTGGCTTGCCACATCCCAGACCGTGCCCCCTCCCCTCCCATGCTGCAGCTTCTGTTTGATGCCAGCCGCATGGCGCAGCGCGCCAACCGCCAGGCCACGCCCTCGCCCGCGAGGCGGCCAGCCTCGGGCGCCGCCACCCCCATGGCGCACCCAGAGCGCTATGGAGGCTTCGCGGCGGGTTGCGGCGGCGCCGGCGCGGCCACCCCCACCACCGCCACCTCCATGCTCTCCACCTCGAGCTTCTCCCCGCCGCGCCCGCTGGCGCTGCTGGCTGTGCGGCCGCTGGGCAGGGTGCGTGCGCTGCACCTGGTGTCTTGTGGGGCATGCGCCAGCAGGCGGCGGGCCGCTCTGTAGTTTCGACTGCGGTCCGGTGCCGTCCATGCCTGCCGCCAGCATTGCCGATGCGCCCGCCCACGCTCCCGCCCGCCCGTGCTGCAGATGCACCGCCGCGGCGCGCTGCTGCGTGGCGTCGGCGCGGCCGGCGGCCGGCGGCGCAGCGAGGCGGATGAGCGCGAGTTCCGGCGCCGGGCGGCCGCCCTCAACATCCAGGTCTCGCCCTACTTCCGCCGCCCGCGGGGTGGGCAGGCCGCGGACGGCGAGTGAGGGGGCGCGCCGTAGCGCCTGGCGTCCACCCATATGCGGCGCAGGGCTGTGTGTGCCCTCATCTGAACTAGTCACTAGTCACCCCGTTCTCCCTGGTACCCCTCCCCATTACCCTCTCCTGTTTTGATGTTGTCGCCACGCCGTGGCGCAAGCCTGAGCCATGGCGGGCCCAGCCTGGGCTCATCACGCTGCTGTTGTTGCGTTGCTGTTCCCTTGGGGTGTGGTATGGCGAGCCAATGCACAGGGCCAAGTAGCTTGAAACGAAAGATCATGCATGCGTTGATAGCACAAGGGATGAGCAGGCTAGGGGATACCTGCCATTTGGTTGAAAGAGATTGCATTACTTGGGCGAGAAGTGGGGCAGGGACTAGCACAGACAAGAGCAGAAGCGACAATGGTGTTTGAGCACCTGGCATTGCACAAGCGAGATGTAGTACAGGGGATGGGAGACTGCACGGCCACCAGATGCGCCACTGGCTTACAGCCCCGCCCACACCTTGCACAGCAGCCAGGTGTTGGACAGCAGGTACCAGCAGATCACGGCACGCACAGCAGGCGAGGAGCGGGCGCCCAGCACACGCCACAGAAGGCGGTCCGCGGCTGCGCCGGCGTCGCTCAGGCGCGACAGCGGTGACGCGGGGCTGGCCCTTCCCTGGCTGCCAGCTGCCGGCGTGTGCTGGGGCGGCGGCCAGCTGTGCACGGCCATCAGCGTGGGCAGCAGCAAGCCCAGCAGCAGGTGCAGGAAGGACATGGTGGCCCAGCACACCGCCGCCGTCGTGGGAGCCTCGCCTGCGGTAGCAGTGGCAGAGGCAGTGGCAGGCAGAGGCATGAGTGGGCGAGTGCTGGGCTGGCAGAAGCAGCTGGCCGGGCGTCCGCTTGGCATGGCACCGCGCTCTGCTGCAGAAGCATGCAAAACACCAAGCGCATGCTCCACACCACGCACCGGTGGCTGGTTGCAGCAGGGGTGCCGCCAATGGCTGCAGTGCCGCCAGCGGCAGCGATGCGTGTTGCAGCATTGCTGCCACCTGAGCCTGGCGGTGCTGGGACAGCGGGTCAGAGAGCAGTGGGGTGGAGCAATAGCCCGTGCTGTTCCAAGTCAACAAAGTGATGGCCGCATGGGTGGCTAGCGCTGATGCGGGCATCTGGGGCGTGAAGATGCCGAGACAAAGGACGGGGAGCAGGCGGATGCCTGGGGCAAGACGGGGCAAAGGAACCTGTCTACGTGATGCAGCACCAAGCACCAACGGATCACTCCTATCAAGCAGCCAGCCAGCCAGCAGCATTCTATGTTTCCGCACTTGTGGCGACGCGCAGCGTATCAAGCACCAGGCCCTTGGCCCCAGCCGCAGCCGCTCGCTCGAGTATGAGGGAGGTCCCAACCTGTGCCACACATGGAAGTTGGGTGGCCGTGCAATCAGGCCATAGGCAGGCCATAAGCACAGTCCCAACATGCCAGCATGCTCACCTGCACTTGGCGCGTGCTGGGAACCAAGAACACGGCTGCACGCAGAATGGGAAGCACCCAGCGCCTGCAAGCCAGGGATGCAGGATGTGCAGGCAGTGGGAGGCAGAGCCAACTACTTCCTCAGGGCAATGGAGAGGAGGACACGTGAGTCTGGATGAGGCCTCCCACTTGCCTGTTGCGCATATAGAACGCTGAGCAGCAGCGCATGATGAGGAGGCCAACGATGAACATGGAGAGCACGGCGGCAGGCTGGATGCGCACCGCCAGGCCGCCTGCCGTCTTGTTCCACTGCCACACAACCACCAGCACCTGGCTGCATGCTATCGCGGCCTGCACGGCCACGTCCTGCTGGAGGGAGGGCGTGTTCTCTGGGCACGCTGCTGCCTCTTCGCTGTCCACGACGTCGGGCGCCCGCTGCCGTCGGTTCTCGCCACCTATTGAGGGGCGAACGCTGCTGCTTCCCGCACCTCTGCCAACTCTGGCACCCTCAGAAACGGCTCCTCCAGCAGTTCCACTCTGATATGCGGTCATAGGCTCTGCCAAGCCCGGCGCTCGCCCTGGCGGTTCCCGTCTGCCTGCCCCGCCCTCCCAGGAGGACGTGTCGGGTACCCAAAAATAGTCCAAAGCTGCTGCAAGGGGCGCGGTGTTGCGAACTCTGGTCTACACTGCCTGGCGCGCAGCACTAACGGGCTCGTTTCGTGCTGCTTCTGCTTCCAATCACGAACCACAAGAGAATGGCGCACACGATCGTCAATAAGTGCGTATGTACGGGCACATGGAGGGACCCATCGTGGCAGGCTGCAGCCTCCCATACAGCTGTATGGGAGGAATGGAACCCCGCTGAGCCTGAGATCAATGCACTGCCCCAGCCTGCCCACCAGATGTGATCCAGGTCCATTGAGGCTGCAGGTTTAATTTCTGTGCTCCTAGCTGGTCTGGCGCCGCACAGACCTGCCTCCAACGGTGCCGCAGCTTTTCGCCCCCGTCTGCCTGTGGATAAGTCCAAGCGAGTGCACACACCAGTTGCGTAAATGCATGCCAAAGGCAGCAGACAGTGAGCAGGTAATGTGACCAGGGCACCGCCGCCTGCTGCACCCCACTATGCGGCTTGCTGCGCCGCCCGCTGCACCACTGCGCCGCCGTCGGCTGCAGTGCCCTGCCCCTGGCGCACGCCCAGCTGCTCTGCTATGCTAGCCGGCGGGCCGGCTGCCGCGTCTGGCCCCGGCATGTATGCAAGGTCGCGCCGCCGCCGCTTGACCGCGCCACCGAGCCAGGGCGGCACCGGGGCCGCTGCAGGCGGCTGCGCCGCCCCCGCTGCCAAGCCCGCGGGTGCCTCCCCAGCGCCGCCGCCGCCGCCGCCATCAGCCCCGCCCTCCAGCAGCAGCCAGGGGTCCAGCGCTAGCGTGCTGCTGGCGTCAATGCCGCCAGGCGCCTGGGTGGCTGTGCCCACCGCCAGGCAGGTGGGCACCCGCGCCAAGCCCTGCTGCTGGCTCAGCGGCAGCGCAGCCACCACCGCGGCCTGCAGGCGTGGCGGCAGCGCCAGGGCGGCAGCCTCCGCTGCCAGCTGGCGGCTGTGCTCATAGGGGGGCACATCGCGCAGCTTGCCGCCTGCGCGTGTGCGGGTGGATGGAGGGGGCACACAGGGAGGGGTGGGAGGGTGAGCGGCAGGCACAGCTGGAGGCTGTGGTGTGGTGGTTGGCTGGCTGGCCCGCCACGGGAGCACAAGGCAGGGTGGGGCCTACTGACACACACCTTGCAGCCGCATCCACGACGCCCAGCCGCCCACCAGCAGCGCGCGCAGCAGGTGCAGCAGGCGCTGAGGCAGCGGCTCGCCGGCCGCCGCCGCCGCCGCAGCAGCAGCCGCAGCAGCAGGGTCCTCCGCTGCCGAGCGGGCGGCTGCGCCCGCGGCCGCGTCTGCGCGCACCGCGGGCGCCGCCAGGAGGCGCAGCAGCGCGCGCAGCAGCTGCCCCCTCAGCCCGCCGCCGCTGTCCGCCGCCCGGTGCTTGTACACCAGCGGCAGCAGCGGCAGCAGCAGCGCCAGGCGCACCCACACCGACACCTGCACGGCGGCGGCGCTGGCGGCGGCCGCCTGCGCTGCTAGCCCGGCCGACAGCGCGTGCCCCGCCAGCTGCCGGTGGCGGTGGTGGCCGCGGGGCTGCTGGCCCAGCGTAGCCTGCGCCTGCGCCTGCGCCTGCGCCTGCGCCAGCGCCAGGTCACCCAGCGCCTCCAGCTGCCTCACCAGCTGCTGCGCAAACGCGTGCTGCCGCTCGCCGCTGCTGCCGGTGCTGAGGCACACCAGCGCGGCCTCCACCAGGCCCTGCTCGCCGCCAAACGGAGGCGGCGGCGCCTCCGCCGCCGCGCTGCCGGCGCCGGCGCCTGGGGGGCGGGGCGCCCGCGTCGCCGCCGCCGCCGCAGCCGCCGCCTGCTGCGCCAGGGCCACCACCGGGGGCTGCAGGCGCAGGTGGGGGGAGCAGGTGGCGGCAGGGGCTGCTGGAAGCCGCCCCAACACACTTGCAGGCTGCCGCCTGGTGCGAGCCGCACAAGCCCAGACCCTGCACCACCCCGGGGCGCTGTCCCCGCCCCTGCCCAGCCCTCCAGGCCCCCTGCCCCCCGCAGCTGCGCCGCACCCGCAGCAGTGCCTCCACCTCCGCCAGCAGCTGCTGCCCCGCGGCGGCAGTGGGACTCAGGCCGCAGAGCGTGGCCGCCAGCGCCGCCGCCGCCGCCGGGCGCAGCATCGCCTGGCGGGCCGCGCTGCACGGCAGGAGGCATGGCGCCGTCGGGCCATGTAGCAACAGACCTGAGGCGGCCGTAGGCGCTGTCGATGCACAGCCAGCCTGGCACCGGCATAGCCAGCAGCCAGCACCACCACCCCCCAACAGAGGCTGAGCGCCAAGGACAGGGCCGGCGCCAGCAGCGGCAGGCGGCGGCTCACCGCTGCGCCAGCTGGCGCTCCGCCTCGGCCAGCTGGTGGCCCCCCTGCCGCTGCTGCTCGTCCAGCAGCAGGCGCAGCAGCAGCCAGGCGCAGCCAGATGTGGCGGGAGTGGCGGCCGCCACGCCCGCCGCCATGGCCTCGCCGCTGCTCAGCGCCAGCAGGCGGGGCGGCGGCGCCGCCGCCGCAGCCGGCGCTGGAG